AATGGAAAAACAAAGTATCAAAATTTATGGGATGCAGTGAAAGCAGAGCTAAAAGAGAAATATACAGCTGTAAACACATTAAAAAAGGCATGGCAAACCAACAACCTAACTTTACACCTTAGGAACCAGAAAAGAACAAACTAAACCCAAAGCTAGCAGAAGGAAGGAGTAGTAAGATTAGAGTGGAAATAAGTAAATAAATAGGATAAAATAGAGAAAAATAAAAAAACCGAAGATCAAAATTGACCACTTTCAGCTACACTATCTAGGAAAACAAGAGAAGAGCCAACTAACTAAAATCAAAAATAAAGTAGGCATAGGATGATCAATTTTACAGACAAAAAATATTTGAAAACAGTGCTGTAAATAACTGTATGCCAAGAAATTGGATAAGCTAGACGAAATGGATGAATTCCTAGAAACACACCACCTACCAACACTGAATCATGAAGAAATAGAAAATCTGAGCAGACCAAAAAAAAGTAAGAAGATTGAATCAGTAATCAAAAGCTTCCCCAAAAAGAAAAGCCCTGGACTAGATGGCTTCACCAAAAATTTTATGAAGAATTAACACCAATCCTCCTCAAACTCTTCCAAAAAACTGAAGAGCCAGAGAAAACATTTCCTAACTTATTCTATGAGACCAGCATTGCCCTCATACCAAAGCCATATGAAAACACTATAAGAAAACTATAGATCAATGTCTCTTACAAATATTAATGCAAAATCCTCAATAAAATACTACTAAATTGAATCAGCAGTATAGTGAAAGAATACCACACCATGTCAAGTGGGATTTATTCCCTGGAATGAAGGAAGCTTCAACATATGAATATCAATTAATGTTATACACCACATTAACAGAAACAAGTAAAAATCCCCCCACAGGGTCCTTTCAAATGATAAGAGAAAAAGGATGTGACATTCTCAACACCTTTCAGGATAAAAACACTCAAATTAGGAATTGAGGGAAACTACATCAACATAATAAAGGTTATGTAAGAAAAACCCACAGCTAACATTACATTCGATGACAGACTGACAGCTTTTCTTCTAAGAACGGTAGCAAGAAAAGGGTATGAGATTTTGCCATTGCTATTTAATATATCGTTGTCAGTTCTAGCCAGAGTAAATAGGCAAAAAAAAAGAAAGATATAAAAGCCATCCAAATTTACAAGAAGTTGGAAAATGATCTCTTTTTGCAGATGACATGATCTTATAGGTAAAGATGCCACAAAAATACTAGTAGGTCTAATAAACGAATTCAGCAGAGATGTAGGATGCAAAACGAACACACAAAAAATCAGATGCATTTCTACACACTAACAATGAACAGTCCGAAAAGGAAATTAACAATTCATTTTACAACAGAATAAAAAGAAGAATATACTCAGGAATAAACATAACCGAGGATGCAACAGACTTGTACACTTGTTGTACACTACACAACACTGCTGAAATTAAGGAAGACAAAATGGGAAGATCTCCCACGTTCATGAACCAGAAGATTTAATATTGTTAAGATGTCAATACCCAAAGCAATCTACAATTCAGAGCCATCCCTATCAAAATCCCAATGATGTTTCATGTAGAATAGAAAAGCCCATCCTATAAGTCACATGAGATCTCAAGGGACCCTAAACTCCCAAAACAACCTTGAAAAAGAACAAAGTTGGAGAGCTCACACATCCTGATTTCAAAACTTGCTACAAAGCCACATTAAAACTGTGCTACTGCCACAAGGACAGACAGATGGACCAATGGAACAGAATAGAGAGCTCATAAATAAATCTTCACATATACGGTTCAGCTGAGTTTTGACAAGAGTGCCAAGACCATTCAATGGAGAAAAGACCGTTTTTTCAACAAATGGTGCTGGGAAAACTGGATACCCACATGCGAAAGAATAAGTTGGATCCTTTCCTTACACTATATACAAAAATTAGCTTAAAATGACTCAAAGACCTAAATGTAAGAGCTAAAACTATAAAACTCTTAGAAGAAAACACAGGGGGGAAAAGCTTCATGATGTTAGATTTGGCAATGATTTCTTGCATATGACATCAAAACACAGGCAACAAAAGAAAAAACAGATGAGCTGGACTTTATCAATTAAAAACTTTTTTGGATCAAAGAATGCTATCGAGAGTGAAAAGACAAGCCACAGAAGCAGTGTTTTCTTAGGTCAGTCTCCCAAGGCAAAAGAAATAAAAGCAAAAATAAATAGGACCTAATCAAACTTACAAGCTTTTGCACAGCAAAAGAAGCCATAAACAAGACAACAAAAGACAACCTACGGACTGGGAGAAAATATTTGCAAACAATGTGATCAACCGAGGCTTAATGTCCAAAATATACAAGCAGCTCATACAGCTCAATATCTTAAAAAAAAAAAAACAACCAATCAAAAAATGGACAAAAGACCTAAATGGACATTTCTCCAAAGAGGACGGTCATACAGATGGTCAACAGGCATATGAAAAGATACTCAACATCACTGATTATTAGAAAAATACAAATCAAAACTACAATGAGGTATCACTTCACATGGGTCAGCATGGCCATCATCAAAAAGTCTACAAATAATAAATGCTGGAGAGGCTGTGGGGAAAAGGGAATCCTCCTACACTGTTGGTGGGGATGGAAATTGATACAGCCACTATGAAGAACAGTACGGAGGTTCCTTAAAAAACTAAAAATAGGGGCTTCCCTGGTGGCGCAGTGGTTGAGAGTCCGCCTGCCGATGCAAGGGATGCGGGTTCGTGCCCCGGTCCGGGAAGATCCCACATGCCGCGGAGCGGCTGGGGCCCCGCGCCCTGGCCGCCGGGC